GCGGGTAATGCCGTCCGCCCGGCATGTCTGTCCTGAGGGACCTCCAGAGCGCCCCCCCCCCTCCCCGTTGGATGTTGTGTGGCGCGAGGACGCACCTTCCGGGAGGGGGGAGTGATGTCAGACTCAGTTCCATGTTTTGTGTGTGTTTTGCCCCAGGTGACCCAGTTTCTCCCTCATGTTGATTGTTCATTTGATTCCAGGTGTATCTCCCTCGTTATCCTGTGTTTAAAAACCCAACATTTAGTGTTGTCGGTTGTTGAATTGTCTTCCTGGATGTCACTCCTGAGTTCCTGTGTTTGTTTCCCTGCGTTCATTGTATTAAAGTCCATGTTGAAGTTCATCCCTCGTCTCCTCGCTCCTTCGTTCCAGTCCTCATTGTGTGAAGCGTGACACTAGGAGAATAACATAAATAAATATCTTTATATAAGAGTGTTGTGATGTTTCGTTCTTTCTTTATTTTTTTACTAGTCAAGTTCAATGGCAATAAACAGCACACAAAAAAGGAAGCGAATGGGCTTCAGGGTTGGGCCAAGGCCAAAATAATAAACAAAAAAATTGAAACTACATTTTTCCCAAAGGATCTTACTACCCTAAAAAGAAAAAGTTCAAACAAATTAATACAGGGACTGAACTAACTCCCTGACTAGCCCAAAAACAGGAGAAAATGCATAGGTTACAAAAAAAAAATGGCACCCAACCCCTACAGCTTCCGTGCTGAAATGAAGTGATATGTACAATATTTACAATAACGGGCGAAAACACACAGCCATGTTAAAAGAAAAACAATCTGATGAAAACTTTACAACAACAACAAAACACTGGGTGGGTAAGGTGTATAGAAAAGAAAAAGACCAAAACAGATTTCACAATATTTACAAAAAGTCGCTATACAGAGATTATCTTTCTTTTCTTATCAGTAATCACAAATTCAACCAACAACACCATCAACAACATCCCACATCCAGATCAGCCTCGCTGCATTTTTGAAAGATGCACAGTTCCAGCCTCAGCCAACCACGGGGCACGTACCGGCGCATTCAATTAGGGCGGGGCCATCTGTGAGAACGACAGAGAGAGAGAGAGAGATGCATAGGCACAACATACACCTCAATGTAACACTATGGTAATACAGGTCGAATGTGTTTTGGTAGTACTGTGTGTTTTAATGTGCATATATGTTTTAACAGCATATAGTAGTTCTGTGTAACAAAGCAAAACCAATGTTACTTGGTTTTCTACTTTTACCTATCGAGAAGAAACAAAGCAACCTCGGCGTCCGATCTCAGGCCTTCCCGCTCCTTGAGTTCTCTCCAGCGCTGGAAAGCTGATCCAAAAGAATCAGCTGATTCTGAAAGAATACTTCTTGCCTTATCGTAAACCTTCTTTTGTTCCGCAGACGTTTTCCTCTTTTGTTTTTATATCCGCCATCTCTATCTTTCTGTCATCGCTCGGCTTGGCTAATGTCCGTCCTGTGCACTGAGCACACTCTCTCGTCCCCATCATGAGTAGACACGCCCCTTACTGCTGATTGGCTACAAGTTTGTTTTGGTACTCAGCCCGACCTTTCTAAAGCGTTTTTGAAAAAATACATACCCCACCTTTAATGTGGACAAACAGTGCATGGTTGAATTTCACACATTCCATTTAAAGACTTTTGGCGCCATCTGCCTTCCATAAACTGCCAAAGTCCCATCAGTAAACAAGGCTTGATTATGTCATAATTGAAACCTAAAATTTTCAATGGGTTGCCGCTAAGAGGCGTTGACCTCTGTGAACCTATGAACAAGTAGATTCATGGGTCGATGAGTGTTGTGATCTAACTAATGACTCTTAAATATGTTACTGTGTTATATAGTTATATAACTGTTATATAGGAACACCGTGTCATTTCGTTAAATTACATGTTTTAAGTGGAAACAGCAATGATTTATTTATATTCATTTTAAGACCTGATAATGAGGAGAACTCTTTAATACAATTAACTACTTTTATTATTTCTGAATCATTTTTAAGAAAAATAGTATTATCAATAGCCAAATGGCATTTAAATACTCTTTCAAATACTCTTATACCTTCAAATGCTGCTTAATAAAAAATACATACATACATATATCCACTGCCCGTCCAAAAAAAAAAGTCACACACTCTAATATTTAGTTGGACCGCCTTTAGCTTTGAGTACGGCACACATTCGCCGTGGCATCGTTTCGATAAGCTTCTGCAATGTCACAACATTTATTCCCATCCAGAGTTGCATTAATTTTTCACCAAGATCTTGTATTGATGATGGGAGAGTCGGACCGCTGCGCAAAGTCTTCTCCAGCACATCCCAAAGATTCTCAATGGGTTTAAGGTCTGGACTCTGTGGTGGCCAATCCATGTGTGAAAATGATGTCTCATGCTCCCTGAACCACTCTTTCACAATTTGAGCCCGATGAATCCTGGCATTGTCATCTTGGAATATGCCCGTGCCATCAGGGAAGAAAAAATCCATTGATGGAATAACCTGGTCATTCAGTATATTCAGGTAGTCAGCTGACCTCATTCTTTGGGTACATAACGTTGCTGAACCTAGACCTGACCAACTGCAGCAACCCCAGATCATAGCAATGCTCCACAGGCTTGAACGGTAGGCAATAAGCATGATGGGTGCATCACTTCATCCGTCTCACCCTGATGCGCCCAAATCTGGACTCATCAGACCACATGACCTTCTTCCATTGCTCCAGTCCAGTCTTTATGCTCCCTAGCAAATTGAAGCCTTTTTTTCCCGATTAGCCTCACTGGTAAGTGGTTTTCTTAAGGCTACACAGCTGTTTAGTCCCAAGCCCTTGAGTTCCCTTCACTTTGTGCGTGTGGAAATGCTCTCACTTTCACTATTAAACATAGCAGCGAGTTCTACTGTTGTTTTTTTACGATTTGATTTCATCAAGCGTTTAAGTGATCGCCGATCACGATCATTCAAGATTTTTTTCCAACCACATTTCTTCCTCGAAGATGATGGTTCCCCACTATCCTTCCAGTTTGTAATAATGCGTTGGACATTTCTTAACCCAATTTTAGTAGTTTCAACAATCTCCTTAGATGTTTTCTTTGCTTGATACATGCCAATAATTTGACCCTTCTGAAACAGATTAACATCTTTTCCACGACCACAGGATGTGTCTTCCGACATGGTTGTTTAAGAAATGAGAAGCTACTCATTGCATCAGTTAGGGTTAAATAACTTGTTGCCAGCTGAAACACAATCATCCATGCAGTAATTATCCAATGGGAGGCTCTTACCTATTCCATGTGGTGACTTTTTTTTTGGACGGGCAGTGTATATATATATATATATATATATATATGGAGTTGGGCTATAATTTATGTAACTAATAGAAACAAAAATAAAGACAAAGGACTACCCTGCTTATACCTCGATTAATCTCAAATCTACCACTTGTACCTGTTGATAATTTAACTGAACTATTGCATCCATTGCAAATAGTTTAAACAGCTATATGGATATATTCTCCAATATTGTACATGTTTTGTGAATGTGGTTACTGATATGATGTCATTGACAAGGAGCGTGGCTTCTGTCAGTTTTAAACCCACCCACAAGAAGGGGCCAAGTTAAAATCTGAACAAAATCTGAAAATGTAACTGAACATTTTTTGCATAGTGCACCTTTAACTTGTCATTCCTGCTCAATGACTTTAGCAAAGTGTCTACAACTCTGCATAGCCTCATGGAAACTGGCGATGACGTGTGATGTCTGCACAAACAATGTGCACGAAGGTATGCAAATACATAAGACGGGCAGGTAGGCCACACACTACCATTGCATTCAGACTGCAATGACTGGATGAACATTTTATTGTCCTGAGTCTTCCACAGAGGATGTTTAATTTTTATTTTTAAAATAATTTTGAAAACCTAAATTATTGCTATCAGGATGTGAAGAGATATTTTTAAGAAAAACACTGCCAATCCTTCCAGTAAGGCATGCAAATAAGCACTTCCAGAATATTCAAATATAAATGCCTTTATTTTTTATACAAAACATTATCATTCATGCAATAAACTATAATCTAAAATAACAAGATTTGTTAAAATATAAAACCATTGAAAATGTGGAAATGTATGTCTCCACAGAGCCCTCCATCCTTATTAGGTTTTTAATTTCCCCAGAAATCCAGAAAAAAAAAAGAATTATACATATCTCCCAATATCTCAACAATTTCTCCCATTTAAAGTTTTACTGACAGCTGACAGGTGTAAAATTTCAGTAAATTACATACAAAATATACAAGTTACCAACCACGCTAAATTAAGTATTTCCTCAGCCCTAAATGCCTTTCTTTTTGGATGAGAATTCATTTGCACTTAAGACGTATTCTCTGCCTAATCTACCCTAAACCTACATTTGTCTATGTTTGTACTGTAATGTTGTATGCAACAGGTCCTTTCAGAGTGAAGCCTAGGTAAAAAGTGACATTCTCATTATTGTGGGGTACTGAGGATGTCTTCAGAGCTGGGATATGAAATTTCATTCCTTTGGGACCCTCCAGAAATACCTTCTCATCCTCCGTCCAGCCTGTGACACATTTCAGCAATTTAGACATTTTTGGCATTTTCCATACTTGTCCACTAAACCATTTCAGACGTTTTTCTGAAACGGAGAACATTTTTGTGATTGTTTCAAACTTACTCTTGTGGACAAATTTTTCAAACCCAGTCCCATTGCTCAGGAAGAAATGAGTGTAGATCCTCTTTTTCCTTGGAGGGATGTCTTTCAATTTTTTGTCATAGAGTCTCTGGAGGTGTTCAACAGCAGAGAGCACAGTCTTATACTTGCGTTCTTTATCCACTTCTGTGTCCTGCTCTTCTGGCCAGAAAAGTAAGACGAGCAAGAAAAGAGCACTTGGTAAGCATCTCTGTTTCTCTTTAGGAAACTGTTCACTCAGACTTTGTAGATCCTTAAATGCAGCCAGCTTGGGTGACTGAGTTGAGAGGCAACTTAAAGCAAAGTGTGATGCTATGTAGTGGACAAGGTACGCTTGTGGCATTTGCGCCCCCATTGGATTGCTTGGGTAAAGTGAAATAATTTGCTCCAGAACCATGACAGGACGTTCTGGTTTGTTAGGACCACAACAAACTTTCTGGTTTGTTAGGAGGGAAAAAATGGTTGTGATGTTTCCCCCACCGTGATGATAAATCATCATGCGTTTCATGACAGGAGTTAACTTCCCTTGGTTTTGATCTTTACTTTGAGAAACACCACTAAAGTATTTACCATAAGTTGAAGACTTGTTCACCAGCCAGTGCATGGGGTGCTTTGTGGTCCTCTCAACAGTCTCAGATGTCTTCTCCTCATCTGTGTTCAGGTCAGTCTGGAAGTAACTCAAGTCTTCTGAAATCCATTCCAGCGCCTCCAGCACTATTTTTTGTAGGTTTTTCAGCTTCCCGTGAAAATTTTCCCATGGTATTTCTACCTCAGCAGGCACATAACCTGTGAGGAGGTATTTAATGCATTGGGAATGATTTCTTCTTGAGAACACATCAAGAGAGGAAATTAGCTTCAGCAATTCGGATCCTACTTCTACTACTCCAAAAAAGCCAGCATTGTTAATGGTGTCATTGTCTTCAACTGCTGCCTTCTCACATTCCTGAAAACATTCAATAGCCCTTAGTGCCGTTTCCACAGCGTCTACTATACTTTCAGGTGTTTTTTCAGTTTGCTTCATGGCTTTAAATTTTGCTATGAACCACTGCCTGTACACCTGACCTTTGGTATCAAGAAAGTAGGAATTGTTCGGTCTTTTTGCTACTGCAGTTTTTGCCCACTGTTCTGCTTCTTCAAATCTGTCATGTTTGTAATTGAGTCGAGCCAGTTGTTGAGCAAAAAATGCATCCTCATGAAAACGCTTGTAAGCCGCCTTGAGAAGCTCAATAGCTTTATCTGGACACTCTTTGTCTCTTACATGCTCAATTAGGGGGGAGAAAAAGCTGTCCAATTCATCACCTTTGCTGATCCTGCGGCGTGTCATGAAGAGATCTCGCAAGAACTTCATGTACTGATCTTTACCAAACCTGTGCTCAAACAGCACATCATTGTTGAGAAGATCCAAAGCGAGACGACTTTGTGGTTCCTTGTCACCCAAAAGTTGGTGGAGGATTTCCTTGGCAACCAATGAATGGATGAATGATTCTGATCAAGGTAATGTAGGTGTTTTCATCTCTCAAATGTATTAAGACCAATCTAGCTTGCTCACTTAGAGAAGTCTCAAAGGCATGTTGTCTAAATCTATCCAAATGACAGGAAAGAGCCAGGAGAGCTTCGCAATGTGACTGAGAGATGAATGAGTTCTGCACGTAAGTGTTGAGCAATGCCACATACAGAACAAGCTTAGTAACAACAGAATTGTGATCAATGCCTTGCAGTAAATGCTTGACAAACTGCTTCACATATTCAGCAATTTTGTGGCTCTCAAATTCCTCACTCATCAGGACAAATGTTAGAATGAATTCTGGCTTGAACTGTTCTTCAAGGCTTTGTCGTTTTTTGGAAAACTGCTTTTTTTCTGTCTCTGAAAGCTTATGAGTAATAGAAACATTCTGTTGAACAGATTCCTTGCACATTTTCTCTGGATTGTGAGATCTCCTACAACTCAGCAGGATGAAGCAGAGAGTTCCACGTGCTATTTTCTTGGTATTGACAGCCACTTCCAATTCATGCTTGACATCTTCTAAATACTCTTGATCACAGTCTTCAAACAGCAGAAGTACAGGGAGGCATTTTTGGGGATCTTTTTCTTCATATTCTCGAAGCCAGATGGCATCTTCTGAAACAACTGTTGCGGAGTATGAAGGTTTTACAACTGCACACCTTAGATCTCTTCGGTTATTCCACAGTATCTGCCTTGCCACTGTACTACCACCGCTGCCCGGATGATGGTATATGTTGATGCAGCTGATGGGTGCCCGATCCAAACTCCAACAAAGACAGTCCTTCACCAGACTGTTGACTTCACTGTAAGCATCTCTTTGAATAACCTCCCCGACAATGTTTTTATCCGCAAGCCAGAGATTAATCCAAGTTACTTTTCCTCCATGGTAAAACTGCTGCTCAATTGTCTCCTTTTCAGATTCAATGAATTCAGGACTGGTTTCTTCACAGTGGTTTAGACTCAGAATCTCTAAAGAACATCTCATTTCCTCCTCTCGAGTATCAAGAAAACACTCTCCTTTGACACGGATTGGTAATCGTTTCATTGTCCGTGTAGTGGTAGGCTGGACCTGTTGGAGGGTTGCATTTATTTGACTTATTGTCATCCCAACAACACTTGAACCATTTACTGTTTCCATGTCACAGGATCCTAGAGCAAGTGCTGCCATTTCTTGAAATTCTCCTCCGATTCTGCAAGGCAGATAATGTCTTCATGTCCTTCCATGTCGGTGATGAACTCGTAGAACGTGTTTAGGAAAGGTGTATCAACAGGTGAGGTAAGGAGGAAAATCACATGAAAGGTTCCTTTGGGTAAGCTATCTTTGCAAATCAGTGACACACAATCTTTTAGGAGGGTCCTTTTTGTTTTAACCCAGGTCTTCTCATCACAGGGAGGCTCGTTGCCTTTGAAATCGTTCCGGCCATTGCAAAATATCCAGCTGATTTGATCAAACAAACGCAGATGACTCTCAAATTCTCGGATGCTCAAGCCACTGGGAATTTTGTAGTTCTGCATGAAATGGCGGTTCACTGCATGGTGCTTACTGTATTCATGGCATAGCCCCGACACGTTGGAATCTGGATCAAAGTCAAACATGCAGAAGATGTTCATATTGAGCAAAAAATCAATGCTTTGCAGATCTTTCTCCAGAAATCGGTTGGTAACCAGTATGTGCCATTTTTCCTTGTCCATTATTTTCTTTCCACCTGTTATGAGCATGATGAGCTTTTTCCCCAGGTTCTGGTGCTATGAAATTATGCCTTTTCTCTGCCTCTTCTCTCCGAGCATCCCTAAAACTGATGCGTTGGTAGAACTCACTGAGGTCTGCCACTGGTTCGGTTTTAGAACCCACTCTGCGAAAAGCTGTGTTCTTCTCAAGCTGAACTTTGTTTGCCTTCTCATTGAAATTTGGCAAGCTAACGGAGAACACCTTATTCTTAACTATGCTCAATGTGGGCTTAATATCAACCTCCACAACGTAGAGTTCCTCTGTGCTGTTTGAACAGACTACTTGAACAAACTGAGGTTCACCAATACAAAATCGTACAAGTTCGCTTTCAGAGCTTGAGAAACTCCTCTCTATGTAATTTAATGCATCACAGTATACGTCTTTTTCCTTAACAGGAATACCAATGATTTCGCCATGTACATAACCAGTGTCACCTCTACTGTCCATGACACCAAAATGTATTGTGCCATTTGTACGAACATTCATACAACCTGTAGCAAATTTCAGCACTTCCTTTGCGAACTTGGCCTGTAGTCTTTGGCGGTCCAGTGTTGCAGCAATGGCAAATGACTTATACTCATGACATGGACTAATAAAATCAACAACCCCTGATTCTGGTAAGAGTACACTGTTTTTAACATATGTAAAATCAACACCTTTCATATCAAAAGGTCGTAGATTTGAATCTCTCTTTGTTGTTATCACAGACACAGAATCTTCTTTATGCTCTTCCCTGATATCGGCTCTTGTGTCAACCCTTTTAATTGCACTTGCTTCATGGTCATTTTTTCCAGAAGTTTGTTTGTGTAAATGTTTGCTCCTGGCTTTTTGTGAATTTACTAACTCATCTCTGTTTTTGATTATCAAAAGCGCAGGCCCAGATTTCAGTCCAATCTTTTTTTCCAGATATTCTTCTGAGAGTTCACAGTTTTTTGATGTATGTTTCTTTAACTCCTATTGATGTTAACCAGTTGCTCACCATAGACTCAGTCCATGTCTCCAGTGGAGGATCCTCTGGCTTTTCTGCAAACCAAAAAGAGTTTAAAGTGAGATAAGTTTATTTAAACAACTTTAAAACAATGACTGTACTGAAAAACAACTTAATACTTGCCCATTGTTTAATGGCTTCTAGTGATCATTCACAGTTCAAACACAGACACCCATAACATTGCGGACCTTGTAAAACAGAAATTACATTGTTACGGCCTTCGACAATACAACATCTGTATTCTTTAATTTCATTAAAGAAATGCATTTATTTAACTGTTTAGTGCTAATGCATCACATCTGCAAAGCAACGGGATTCATATTTTTGTAGAAACAGCGATACAGAACTACTATTCCAAATTTGGTGCAAGTGAGTAGAGAACAAACACACACACACACTGTGAACACACGCCCAGATATTTATGTATATATGTGTAGACACCTTTCATTATGTCTTTTCAGATATGTTTAACTGCTACGGGTGTGTGTTCACACCACGGTGTGTGTTTGTTCACTATGTGAACTATGTGTGTGTGTGCACTTGGATGGGTGAGCACAAATTCACACTTCCTTTCCTTTCCTTTCCTTTCCTTTCCTTTATTATAACATTTCCAGCGCTGTCTTTAAACTTTGTCACCCAACTAACATGTTTGTTATCTCATGTATGTTTAAAATCAGGGATTATAAATGAATTGGTTCTGAGTAAAAACGATAGGCTATTTTTTTTTGTTACAGTTCCCAAGTTACCAGTTAGAACAAAATAAAACATTACTGCTTATTTTATTCAGAAACAAAACTCATTTAAAAATGCTATTTGTGTTTTTAAATTTTCATTATATTAGTCTACAAGACATGTTAATGCTCCCAATGTTACTTAATTGCCCAACACCGCATTTTGACAGCTGACAGAAGAGCTGTAGAGAAATCAAGGCACTGTAATTTCCTCATCCATTTGACAAAAAACTATATATAAAATTATTTATATTTAGATGATTTTAAAATAAAAAAATCATTTTGAAGAACAGCTATGTATTTTTCGTATATTCGTTAATTAAGAAAATTCGTTATGAAGAATAGCCTATTCGTTATGAAGTTAATTTAAATATTCTTCATTACGAATTATTAGAAAACGTTAGAAGTTAAGAAAAAATAGAATAGTCTATAGGCCTACAAGCTAATTCTATTTTTTTTTCTCAGCTTTTATTAGACTGCAGATTGAAATAAAGAAATCACTGACCGTCTTAATTTAACTTTCTTTGACTGCAGAAAAAAAGAACAGTCTAAAACCAGTGAACGTATCTCCACTCCATAGCCACATATGCAATTGCTGGTGTTAGTCACAAATATTAAAGGGTTAGTTCACCCAAAAATTAAAATTCACGACTGGCCCAATTCACATCCATTGGAATTGCTTCACTGTAACCCACCTTTTGCTTTTTCAAGAAAAGGAGAAATGTGTTTACGTTTTTACAACTGGTAGGGTAGACCAGGGAGTGTTGTAACATAGGGTCAGTTTGACAAGTCAGAAAAGAGCTGTGGTGATGTCATCAATATCATCTCATCATATTTTTGAGCTTACAGTAGAAGTGGCATGTGACTGTGAGCAACACTGTAGATTTTATGACCAAAAAGCTGATTTTCAGGAAAGAAAGTGATTTTTTTTATTATTAAGTTCTTTTCTTTCCGTAGCAATCATTGTATTGTAGATAGTTTTTTGACTTACATAACCTAAAATAGCCATTTCTCTAGTTTAATTTGATGGTATGCATTCATGCTAACTACAAACCAACATGCTAAAACGGTTTAGCTATGCTATGACTGACTGGAGTGGGGACAGTTGTGTCAGTTAATTAAAAAATGTTACAACAAACTCCTTATGATGATTCCAATGAGTCCAGTTATCCAGTTACATCCTCTGTTGATGTAAAGACATGCAAGTTTTTTGTTCCGCATTAAAGGATTTATGTGGTAAATGTGTGATTGATGATTGGGGTGTGGTTCGCACACTGGATGAGAAACAGCATTATAATGCATTATAATTGTACCAAATCCTTAATAATGTACATAAAGTCTTCAAGATTGTACATTTTACACCCTAGTCTACATTTTAATATTAGAAACAGAGCTAAAGTTAGATGCCAGATATATTATGTAGCTTATTTTTTAAGCTATGACTTTGGATAATTGATTTTTAAAGATCATGGTGGTTTTCCCACGATTCTGAAAACAAAACATTAGGCTAATTTACTTGATGTTTACTTTAATGTTATACATTAGTCTAAATGTCTAAAATGTTATAAATTAGTTCATTTAAAAATATTTATTAATTGAAATTAATTTATTTTTTATTTTTTTAATCGCTTGAAATAAATGAATGAAGTTTTTGAACAAATCTCTTGAATTAATGAATCAGACATCAAATACATTTTAATAGTCACTGGTCATGCCTATTGGCATAATGTAACATACAGTCTTAATTTAGTTCCAAAGGTCAGTTCATTTTGATCACGGCTGGGCTGCCACAACATCATATCCGGACTATAAACTTTCATCCCAATACATCTTTATGTTGTATGTTTATGTTTGCAGCACAGAAACGTAGCCTACTGTAAACTGTTTGTGAAGCTGTTTCAAACATAAAGCTTAGTACATGATGAGCGCTGCTCTCTTTGGATCAGCGGCTATGCGAAAGCATATTCTGATGTGATTGTGATTTAATTGATTGAATTATCGTCATCTATGAATAAGATCACATGTGTTTAAATCTAGATTGCGACCTTTTAAAATCACCATGGAATCAAAATGGAAAATTCTTATTTTTTTAATGGAATACTGTAGTGTTTATTATAAATAATTTATCCGTGCACTTCATTATTTTTTTA